GCAGTTACTTAGGACAAAAAGCCATGTTTTCTCACTAGTTTTCGAGTATTTTTGTGTAAAACACGCAGAAATGTCGCAGAAATTTACATGATCTACATCTTGTCCGGATACTTTTGGCAGGTGAGTGTATAAAAAGAAAAAGTGGTGGAATAGATTCTGCACATAGATAAGATCATTTGATGCAGTGGAAATTTTTACTTGATGTTCATCCAAACACTTTCCTAAAGACTCTAAATCATTCACTTCGTAAAACTTATCCAAATAATTTAGAACATCTTCCTCGCAATCCACAATAAATTTATCAATTTTTTTCTCACTATCAAAATTGACAGCTTCATTATCACAATCTTGAAGTTGGTTTGCGATGTAATTGTTGTAGTTATGAGGTAAATATCTTGTACAATCGAGATTATGGAAATTAATGACATGAATACAAAGTGGGCTCTTTGCCATTCGGTTTTCTTCATACCCTTCATGACTGAATATGCAGAATTTAATACATTTACTCCCTCATATGTAAGTTTTTCACCTGGCAGAACACTTGTCTTGTACGTTTTTAAGACTTTGTCTGCTATGTCACTATTGATGTATTTTCTTAGTTTCGAAGCTTTTGCTATTTGCGCTGATGCTGAAGATAAATCCCATTCAGTAGTATTCGTTTCAGATTCTACAGAAGTCACTGGCAAATCATAATATTCTCCATCTAACTTGGTCTAGATTATAGGATAAAAACAGAATATGCCAGTAAGTTATTTGTTTACTTGTAATTTCACCCTTTCATTGCGCAACATTATTTCAAATATCTATAATCACTACCTTCTTTGAAGGTTCTGCAGCCACTTTATTGTTTGGAGAACGTTTTGTTCCAAGAGTTTCTGACATCTCCAAAATTATTTCTTGACCTACTTCACGACCTGTATTTTTTTGTCTTTTTTATTGTTTTTTTACATAATCCAATGGGATGTTAGTTTAGTACACATATAAAAAATTACATGTAAAGATTTTTTTATGAGTTCATTTTTAATAATAATAACTAGAGTAACGACGAGTGGCAGGCGATAACCACCACCACCATCCTTAAAACGCTTACCCTTTTACTTCACTAAGAGCAGTTTCTTTTCTTCTTTTGTTGTTTTTTGTAGACATTTTTACAGAAAAAAAGATAAAATAAAAGTTTGTTATTTGATCAACGCATACATGTTAATTATTTATCCTATTGGTTTTTTTTTTGGTAGGACAGGCGCGAATTGATTTTTTTTTTCTCTTTTTTGGAAAAACAAAAAACAATTTATTTTTTGACAGAGTCCAAGGTGACAAAACGTGAGTGTTGTTGTTTGGGTCTCTTAAAGAATACATGTTAATAATAGAGGTACTACTTTTTACTTGTATTGATATGTATGAGGTGTCTTTTATCTTATTATAAATATTTTATTGGAAATCAAAACACAGAGCAGATCTTGCTGGGTAATTACAAGATTTTCATTGATAATATTTTGTTTTTCGTAATTGTTAATAATATTAATATTACTATATAATTACAAGAAGATGTCAAGGCAGCACACCATTGAATATGAAACATTTTGAATATGCAATGTTTGATTATTGGAAATTGGCAGGTGTTGAAGCACGCACGCTACCTTGAATACTTTACAGTCATTCTCATATCTTCCTTGTGTACACAAGGCTAATCTGACTTGATCCCCCGATGATACAATGATGCTACCAAATTCCAGGGGGCGGGTAGCAATGCCCTGGAGTTTACCGAGACTGCATCAATCGTCAATGACACTTTTCACTAATCTTTCCTCACAACACCCAGATCAGAGATGGCTGTCATGTTAGACAAAAAGTTGCCTGCAATGATCCTACCTCTAGGGTAAGGATGGCACTGTGACCAAGTCGCAACTCTGTTGATGAATTGTAGTGCCATGTAAATATCCAGATCCATCAAAGCAACGAGAATCTGCAACTCATTTCCAGCACAGGCTGCAATTTCAGGGCCACCAGTCGGTGGCCCTGAAATTGCATTTGGGCTCTGATGTTAAGAGGAAAGTTGTAAAATAGTGTTTGTTTTGTATAATCATTTCATAAATGCTCTGTTTTTTTGATACTAACCAATTTAATAATTTTGGGTAAGGGACTGGATTGGGTTTTTGCCCAATCAGTCCTGTAGATTAAAATTATCGCACAATTATATACATCTTTGTCAGCAATATGTACAGCTAACAAGGAAAAGGTTATAAATGGTTCGGATTTTGTTTGGTATGTTTTGTACAAGTTAAACATTTTCCCAAATTTTCTGCTTTTCTTTAATTTTTGTCTGATTAACTGAATTTGTTTTTTGAATGGGGGTAGGGTTGTTGGCGAGTAGGCATGCCACTGACAAGACAGGAGACACCTTTGAGATATACCAGCCAAACTCATAGAAAGGGATAAGGGATCTTTTGTCCAGACTTATGGTCACACAGATGTTAAGCACAGAAAATGTACACTATCAATGTATATTTTTTTCAACAAAAAAAACATTTAAATAATTAATTGTTAAATATTAATACTTTCTTTTCATAAAAAATTACAGCAACCCAGGACTCAACTCTGAATTCAGGGAAAATCCAAAACAACAACCCAGGTTGCAACCTTCTGAGTTGCTGAATTTTCAAGCAAGTCTTAACACCAACTTTATTCTAGTGAGTGAGGGGTATAACACAAAGCAATCATCACACATCACACAAATGTCAACTCTCATCAGCAATCAATGCCCATATGATAACAGCCAAGCCTGGTCTGAGGGGAGGATAGGGAAAAGTTTTGTCCAAAGCCTTCCAACATGTAATTATCTTTTATTTATTTGTTTATCTGTTTTAGTTGATCAATAAATCTCAGGTCTCAAGATAGTTTATCTTATCCATTTTTAGTAATAATAAATAATTTAAATCTAACATAATTATTTTTCATGGAACCAATTGAGGATTTTTATTTTCTCTTTTATATCAATTATTGAATATATATTTCTGATATTTATTTGCAGACCCACTCAAATTTAATTCTTTCTGCTTTGCTCGTCACCACAAGACCGATTTCAATTTTAAAATAAATGAAAACCTACAAAGTGAACATAAAATTATAAAATTATATATATAGGGATAGGTGTATATGAATAATAATAATAAATATAATGGTTCTAATGAATATCAAAAAGCAATTGATTTTTTAGAAAAAGGTTGTAATTGTGGCTGTTCTTCAAGAATTCCCAAAGAACAATTTGCAGAATTAAGGGAATCTTTTCAAGCTCTTTCTAAAACAGTGCAAGACATATTTTTAATGGCTCAACTTAAGGCAATGGATGGTGGATTAACAAGCACTAGCAGACGCCTTAAAAAGAAAATTAGATCTAATAAAAGGACTTTCTACCATTGGGATCATGATACACCTCTTTGTCAAGAAACTTATCTCAATATGTTAGGAATTGGTAGACTTATTTTGAAAATATTAGAAATCATTTGATAAACAATGGTCTCCTGCCAAGAATTCATGGCAATATTAAAAGAATGCCTCAGTGAAAAACTAAAATGGTGATTGATAAAAATGTTGCAGAAATAGTAAAGAATTTTATAGAAAATTATGCAGAAGTCCATGGATTACCAAATAAAAACCAATAGGATAAATAATTAACGTGTACGCGTCGATTGTATCACAAAACTTCAAAATGTCTTTTG